ATCTCAATAGTCAGTTCCAAAAAAAAAAAAAAGGTTTAACTTTAATCCTAGATATGCTTAAAATGAATCCTCTCCAACAACGAATCTAGACCTTTCATTTTGTGAATCTCTAGATCTTAGCCTTTACAAACTCAAAATCATTTTTTCCTTTTTTAATATTGTTCATCTAATGTTAATAAAGTCATATGAAAAAATTGGACAAGAAAAAATCCTCGTAAGGCCTAGATCTAAGCTTCTTATCAAAATAGACGGTCTATATTAATTGGGCTAAAAAAATACTTTCGAGGTTGTGTTTTCAATTTTTTAGTTTTTGTTATTGTTCATTAGAATGAAAATGGTGTATATTCTAAAATTTGGATCAAATAAATGGCCTTAACATAGTTTTTGAAGATTGTTACATTATATTGCAATACAATTATTGTATGGAATCATCGCCCTTTTAAATTTTGTGACACTTACTTGTAGCTCTTCCAAAATTGGACAATTTAATCTTGAAGCGTAATTTTTTTTTTATTATATAAAGAGTTTTATTTTGGTTTTTTTTTTTTTTTAGATTAATTTATGGGTTAAAAAGACTACATCCCCAAAATTTAAATTAAAAAATTTGGCGATCTCTATCTAATCTTGAGGCATAAGTTTCATGATATTTTCCATTTTTGTAAAGTCATATTTGTATATTTATATGGAAGAGCATATATTTATACTATAGAATACATGCAGTCTCTATAGGGGACCTGGATTCATGTAACCAAACCTAAATAATTGAAAAAAAAAGAAAAGAAAAAAGACTAACGACGATGATGATGAATACATGTGGCCTCTAGTTTGAAATTTTCCAGATTTAACCTTAGCACTTGTGAAAAATTGTTATTGAAATGGCTATGTGCGGTAAAAAGGCATAATATCCCAGGTGTTATTTTCGTTTTTTTCTTCTTTTTTGTTTTTCTTTATTTAAATTGTTGTTAATTTCATGTATTTTTCTTTCTCATTTCCATAGAGCGATTTACCAACTACAATTGTTTGTCTCTTTCATGATTAAAGGGAAAATATTTGCGTTAGGAATCAAAATAGAAGCTGAAATGAATCCCTTCGTGTATTTTATCCTCCGTGTAAACTTAATTGGATTTATTTCTTAAACATGGAAAATGTCATGAAAGCTTAGATTACTCAAAATTAAAGGGTGTGGTTTGCATAACGTTGTGATGTAATTTTAGTTTCAAACTCTTAGGATGGTGCGAGAATCTATTTTTATCTCTAATTATAAATTTTAAGTTAAAAAAATAGTTCAAATCAAGTAGATCTATAAATATTTGAAACTCTTAAAAACATACGTTTCAGATACTTTTTTGCAAGTTGTACTATTTTTAAGATTTAAAATCTCTTTTTTTTTTCTTCATGGGGGTATACATCTTCATATCGAAATGAGAAACTAGATGTTTTTCCAATATTCCACGTACTTTTTCAAAGAATTTTACAGGTACACGTTAATTCTTTAAAGTACCAACCTTATTTAAACTTTTTTCAAAATTAAAATATCCCATTTCTCAATGAACATTTTACTTTTTAAGCTTCATCTAATAAAATTACCTCCTCAAAAGATTTGTTTTAACGTCCCAAATTATCCTTGCCTAGGGTCGGAAATCCAATTTTGAATTCGAACAAATTATGAAAATACCTCTTCTTGAGAATTGAAACATGAAACTACCCAAAGATGAAAATGCCCCCTTGTCTCGAATTGCTAACCCTAAGCAACCATGGGTATTTTTTATTATTTGCCTGTTCGATTTTTTAGTTAAAACTAACATTAGTTTGAAGGCTCTACTATATGCTGAAATTCTACCCTTCAATAGTTGTTTTTTTTTTTTTTAACTAGAATACATAAAACCATTTTTTAGTAGAGTTACCTCCCTGTGATTTATTTTGCTTGTTCAGTAGTCTCTATTGTGAAAAAATATGGAAATATTTGTGAAAGTAGAATGTGACACTAGAAATGGAGAGAGGACCTGCCCATTGGGTCATGTCATGTTCTGGTTTGTCCTGCTCTTTCTCCATGTCTGTCCATCCATCCATCCGACAGTGATGACATTGATGACTAGATTTGGACATAGCCATCAGTCCAATTAATTGATGGACGGTAACGGAGAGAGAAAATGGGACCTACACATTGAGCCATGTCATCTTTTGGTTTGTCCTGCTCTTGCTCCATCTCCGTCCATCCATCTATTCAACAGTGTTGACACTCATGACTAAAGCTTTTACAGTCACGTGGATCACAATATACTTTCTCAATGTTTTTATCTGGAATTCGTGTTTGCTACTAAGGATAGAAGGAGTTTTTTTTAAAGTAAGAAGTTTATATAAGGTTGAGATGGATGAGTGGCAAGAGAAGAAGGAATAAAATTTGAAATAAATACATTTGGGAGAATTTAGTTATGATTCCAAGAGACGACAAGATAAGAGAAAATAAACTGAAGTGGATTGATCATGCGTTGCATAGACGTAGTATAGCAGCTGTTAGGAGGTGCAAATTAGTTCAAGTAGAGGGCTAACAAATGATAAGGGGTTGAAAATAATGTAACAAACGATATAGAGACTTATAGCCTCACTGTGGTTATGACCCTTAATAGAGCAAAATGGCAAGCGATAATTTGTGTAGCCGATCCCAAATTGACAATGATGATGATAATGTTGCAACCTTATTTGTAGAAAATAGGTTGTAGTAATCAACACCATTCATTTTATTTGGCAATGCAGGTTGATACTATCTTAAAAGACATGCCATGTATTGACACTTTCTTAAAAGATGGGTCAAAGGGTGAGGTTTGCATAACGTTGCAACCTTAAACCATCATATTAAGGTGCACCTCCAAACTTTGTCATAAGATGCAATTTTGGTATCAACAATTTTTAGGATGGCTTGAGAATCTATTTTCATCTCTAATTACAAAATTTTAATCCTCCAAAAATAGCTCAAATTAATCATATCTATAAACACATGATAATCTTGAAAATGGAATTGTCTAGCTAATATGTTGTAAGATCATTTTTTTGAGACTTGAAATCTTTTTTATTTTTTCATATCCATAAATCTCAATGTCCAGATGATCAATTTGATAGTTTTCCAATATCAAAATTACCTGTTCCAATGGAGTTTTGGTGTGTAATTTAATTCTCCAATTTAAGGTGTCAACCTTATATAAACTTTTACCATCTTTAAATACAATGAAAAATACAAACATATTTTCCTTCCAAATGAGAATTTTCTTTGGTGCTTAGTCAAAACCATTTGTATTAAACTTTAAATGACTGAAAAATACTTACTATCAAATATGTTTCTTGATTCATGCTTTGTTGATTTGAAGAGTCAGGTTCAACAATGGCTGAAAATGAAGAAGCTCTGTTGAAGACTAAGGACTATTATGAGAACTGTCCAGGATGTAAGGTGGACCAGATGAAGGAAATCAATCGGGGTTTTCCCTTAAAAGAATGCTTTTTCATTGCAATTGTTGTCCTCTGTAATGGTAAGCCTTGTCATTGCATATCTAATGAGGTAGCAGTTTATACGCTGCTTAATTGCTTATAAAAAGAAAACATACTATGGCGTATATGACTTGGAGAGTAGTATAGGCATGGGGCACCATCACCGTTTCATCTTCCTTTTGAATGGTGACAGTTGGGGAGTGTGTTTCACAAAACATATCATTAATTCAAAGTTTATGGGCTAATTGCATCCCATCACCGTCTAGCTTGCAGAGGGAATGGTGGTAACCTTATAATCTTACTGTTTCTGTGATGTATGTGTCGTAGCATAAGGATCCTCTGCTAAATGACACTAAAACATGATGAATAATATTTCCCATTTGAATTAATCTAGTTGTTTGCTGATCTATTGATTAATGGCCTTCCTTTTTACAGCTCTTCCAATATCATCATTATTTCCATACTTATACTTCATGGTATGTATGCTACCCAAGCTTTAGTGAACGTCATGCTATGCTTCTGCTTATTAGTATGTTTTATATATTTGGCCCTATTCTTTCAAATAGTATGTAAAAACATATCGCAAGGGTCTCCAGCCCGTGTGTGTCAGTCATGTCTGACAGACTTGACCGAGTCTATAAGAGACTCGGCCTAGTCTAACAAAACGAACAGTAAAACAATGTGAAATGGCCATAGTTGTCCAGTTCTGCTGAGCCCGAGCGACTTGGGTGAGTCCGAGTGAATTTGCCTGGGTTTTTTAATGCTGCTTTCGAATCATTTGATCATTGCGTGTTTCTCTATGTGCATGCATGCATTTGATCTCCTGATATCTGCATGCATCTTGAAGTTTCCTTGCACTCTACCTGCATGCATTTAAAATTTGCATTTCCTTGAATAAGTCATAAATAAATCACTGGAAATCATTGTAAACATTCTATGACATGTATAAAAAGTTCATTGAAGACATATGTGTACTAATTTGTTCAGTTAAATAATAAAAATGAATCAATCTTGGCACTTGCAAGAGTCATGTTTATGGCTCAGCAGTACACTTGCAAGTCCCTAGATATTGAAGAGTGATTTTCTGAAATAAATTTTCTTATGGCACCTAAATCTCTTAACAAATTTGCTCAGCTAAAGATTCGCTTCTTTCTTTTATGGAAGAATAAGAATCCATGGGTCAATTATTTGTGCAGATAGAATACTTCGATGTTGCAAAAACTGAGGAAGATATTGGATTCTATGCTGGCTTTGTGGGTAGGTCTACTCTATGACATGGGCATCGGTTCCCTTTTTTCTTTTTTATCTTTTCCTTTAGAATGTTGATGAGCATTCAATGACCTCTTATAGGGAATGGAAGCGTATTTCAGTACTAATTCTATGCTTGTGATTCTCTTGTTGTTATTGTTTTCACCAGGTGCATCATTTATGTTTGGAAGATTTTTGACTTCATTCATTTGGGGAATGGTGTCCGATCGATATGGACGAAAACGTGTAATCCTATTGGGGTCCTTTTCAATGTTAGTAATAATCGATATTTTATTTTCCTATATGGTTTTAACCGTGTTCAAAAATTTTTGGGCTGACTTTGGACTCCCCCAAGTCGGCCCCTCGAGCCAAAAAAACCTAGGAACAGCCTGAGTCTCCTGATATCTTCATAATATTTGACTTTTTCTCTTTAAAACTTGCACAGTCGGATCTACTTGAACAGGAGGAACTATGGCTTGGCACCTGGTTAGTCAGACCTGTGTCTGATTTTTTAAACATTGGTTCTAATTGTACATTTCAAACCAATGCACATAGCTCTAGGTGGTACATCATTATGATGAGTTTCCATCCAATCTTCATTAGTGACCTGGGGTTAATCTTTGTTACAGAATCATATTCAACACTCTCTTTGGGCTTAGTGTGAACTATTGGATGGCTCTTGGAGCGAGGTTTCTTCTTGGTTGTTTCAATGGTTTGCTTGGCCCAGTAAAGGTCCAAAGCTTCATCCTCTTAGTATTGATTATGAGCAGGAGTCTACTTTAAAATAGTTTGTTTTCATTGCTACAATTTCCTTTTACTTAAGATGTTTATAGTATTGAAATGTATGAATTGGTGAACGACTTGCAGGCCTATGCTATCGAAATTCTTCGCAAAGAATATCAAGCTCTGGGATTATCCATTGTATGAGCGTTGCTTCTTGCACTATTCACATTGTTCTGTTATGTTTGAATTAATTTACGAACTGCTTTTTTAAGCAATATTTTATTTTCAGGTGGGCACATTTTGGGGAGTAGGTCTAATTATTGGTCCAGCAATAGGAGGATACTTGGCACTGGTACTTGTTACATTTATACATTTGTGAAAATTGCCATTGAATCAAGAGTAGTTATCATGTCTGGTCTAAAGTATTTTGAGTTATGAACCACAAAACATGTTTCAAGGTGACTAGATAAGTTGGTTATGATGTCTTTGAGGAATGTCAAACCCATTCTTGGATTAACAAGGGTGTCAGATTCCATTGACACAAGCACACGTGTACACGCGCGTATGCGCACCAACATATGGCAAAAAGATTTGGGAAGCTGTGAGCTCATTTCTACCATTTTGGTTCATGGCCAAATGCCTAGTTAGGGGATGTGTTTGATTTGAAAACTTGCACAACAATTTTGATGCCCCTTCTGAAAAAAAAAAATGGGATTTTGAAATCTAAGCCAGAGATCCGACCATCCATCAAGTTAGCTCAATGACCAAGCACTCCAGCTAGGGACATGCATGACCTAATATTTTCTTAACAGCTTTGATTCACTAGGTGCAGAATTTTCTTTTTGTAAAAAAATAAGTTCTTGAAAATCCCCATCTGATCAATATGTCAAATGGACAGTTCGCAGTCACTTTGGTGCATGATTTGGTGGACAATTTATTGGGCTTTCTGTTTATTTTTATTTAAATGAATATAGGATTAAGTTGTTGTAGCTTGTACTTCCACTAACGTATCATTTCTTTCCCTGTTTTGTCTTGCTTCTAATGTTGGTCCAGTTAAATTAATCCCTTGATTTCATATTTACATCTTAGCCTGCAGAAAAATATCCAACTCTATTTTCTGAAAGCTCATTATTCGGGAGGTAAGTACTGTGCTTTGATTTATATTTATTCCTAATTTCTTCTTTTTCTTTTTTAATATTAAACTGCTTCAATGCTTACACATGCTTCCTGTTACAGGTTCCCATTCTTCTTGCCATGTCTTGTTATATCGATCTTTACAGTTGTGGTCTTTATTTCTTCATTTTGGATTCAAGTGAGTTTTATATCTCATCCCTACATAATTTTATTTTAGTATGAAATTTCAATTCATATGAAATTTCAATTCATATGAAATCACTTGGTTTAAGAAGGGTAAGGATCTTAAATTTTTTCTTAACTCGTCCCAAGGGTAGTTGTTTAGATAAGCAACCAACATAAAATTTACCAGAACTTTACATGAATCCGGAATCTATGATAGGTGCTTCCCTTAATAAAGAATGACAGACCAGGATTCATGTAGCCCACATCAATTAGTTGGAAAAATGCTCTAATGATGAATATGATGAATTCCTATAAAATCACTCCTTCCTTGGATTTTTGTAGTTTTTTTTTTTTTCTCTTGGCCCCTCAAGCGCTAATAGTTTTGTATGAGATGTATATTTATAGCTGCATGCTAGCAACAAGGAGATATCCTAATACTCTAAATATCAAGTCAACTTTGCATCAATAACATTCAACAGTTTCATAAAAAAAAAAGAAAAACATTTAACTTAGTGTGAACATTTCCCTTATTTAGAACTCTCCCTTGTTTGAACCATTGTTCAAAGCCCGGACTTACTCTAGGACTCACCAATGGAAGCGAGATGGCGGTTCTTGAGTGGGTATGAGTTGGGCAAGTTGCCTACCAGAAGGCTCAACAGATTGGCAAAATTCATGAAAAAGGAATAATAATTGATTTAGTGATTTTTTCTAGAAACTAAGCCCTACCTTCTTTAGATTACATAAGAATATGTAAAACACTATTTTCAGATGAATATTATTCAAGTGTCCAAAATTTCCAAATCCCATACTTTAGTGGTTGTTTGTGTAGAAAATAAGTATGATTTAATAGAAGAGCCAAAAGTAGGCTTACGAGATAAAATTAACCAAAATCAAGTTAAGGTTGGAGCAGTGTTTAAGAACTCGCTTTGGCCGTTTGCCGAGGTGAGTTGGTTGAAGCTGTACAAGGTCAAAAGCCCTAGATAAACTAAAAAAATTAATCAAAAAATAAAATAATAGTAGTAAAAGTAGCGTTTTGTAAGTTCAAATAAGCTTAAAAAAGTAAAAAAAATTAGATTTTAAAAAAAATGATTTATAGTTGGGGACATTTTAAAAATCCAAAAAACAAATATATTAAAATAGGTATTATGGCAAAAAAAAACACTCCCCAATCTTTGCCAAAAATCCAAATCATATGCAAAAAATCTATAGGCCAGTCCACTTTTTTACAATTTTTTGGAATTTTTTGAAATTTATTTTATGTATCCGAGTTGTACACAACTCTTGCCGGAACCCGAGTGGACTTGGGCAAGCTCCTTAACGGTGTGATAGAGAGAAGACCGGGCTGTTGGGCCTTTTACAATGTAGACTTCCTAACTAATTATCATAGTTCTTAGAATCATTTTTGTTGTATGACACTATTACAGGTATTAGAAATTGAAATCTATTGTGTTGTAAGACCACTGGACAATTTTTTCTCAAGACTGAGCTTTTCTTGTTTGGAGTATTACAGTTAAAGAGTATCTTCATGTCTGATTATCTTTTAATTGAGAGATAGTAAGATAGTGATGATGACTTTTTATATTTATATTACATACACTAGGTAGTCATATATCTACAACTGTGAAAATCCTAATATGGTGTGGGTTTATGACTACTAGGTTACAATAATTTACATATAGTTATTACTGTTAATTGTTGATGCAGGAAACACTACATATGCATCCCTCAGAGAAAGGGGAAGGGTTAGAGAAGTTGGAAGAAAATAAAAGCACTGCCTCACCTGCTAAGAAATCCCTTTGGAGAAACTGGCCCTTGATGTCTAATATAATTGTATATTGTATTGATGCCCTTCATGACATGGCATACACAGAGGCAGGTCTTCTCATATACTTTGATATGTTGGGCTTTTCCAAAAATAAATTTTTAGGGAAATTTATCAAAATACACCTAAAATATCAAATATTGAGCATTTCAACTATTTATCTAAGTAAACCTAAAATATCAACTATTCTATCTCATATGTCCTTTGATGGGCTTTTTGAAATTAAATGAAAAGAAATAGGTAGGATATTAAATCACCTTCCTCATTTGAAGGAGACTTACATTTTCATGTGCTCTTTCATGCATATGCTTTTTTCTGTTTGTCAACATTTGCACATTTTGGGAAAGGAGTTAGGGTTGTGGTGGTAGCACCCTCCATACCTTTGTCGCACGTTGTGCTCTCCAATCCCATTGATAGTTTAAAAAATCCAACCATTTAAAAAACAGGATGGGACACCTATATTCCCCACTGAAATACCCAAAAAAAAAAAAAGCATTTGCACATTTCCAAATTTCAAATTACATACTTCATGGATTAATTGTGAACTTTTGCTATAGATATTTTCTCTTTGGGCTGTCAGCCCAAGAAGGCTTGGTGGGATGGGATTTTCATCTGCGGATGTGGGTGAGGTTCTTGCAATCTCAGGTATGAGTGGCACATGTGTTTTTTAGAACATATGACGTTTACCCTCTTTGCACTGTTAGACAAATGAATAGATTCCCCTTGCTATCCTTTACATTAGATAGTGTTCCTGTTGTGATTATAAATGTGCCTTGTGGGACAAGTGGAAACTAAAATTCCAAACGGCTAATCATGATTCTCTTCTCATTGTTATACATCATTTTTTACGTACTTGTATCCCCGGGGCAAATAAAGAGAGAGCCGGTAGTAACCTGGTACTGTCGGTGCCCAAGAAGCTGTCAAACAAAGGGAACACTGTCGCAATAAGTCTAAAAGTGGGCAACCGTTGAAGAAGTGTCAGAATGGCCTCAAATTAGATGAGAGTGTAGTTTTGGATACCCTAAGGACACCCGTAAATTTTCGTCACGTTCTGACGAGTTTTGATATAATCAGGACGAAACTTGGTTTTCAAATCCAGTTCCTATCATGTTGAAAATTGACCCTATAACTATAGCCCTATTTTCTAGGTCTCAAAACAATATCAAACCTGCATGAGCGGGTAGTTTTGGATACCCTAAGGGCACCCGTAAAGTTTCGTTGTGTTCTGACGAGTTTTGGTATGATCAAGACGAAATTTGGTTTTCAAATCCAGTTCCTATCATGTTGAAAATTGACCCTATAACTATAATCCCATTTTTTACGTTGAAAAACCCAGGTACCAAATTTCGGCTCAATCGAATCATTCTAGGTCTAACTTACCATAAAATGGTGGGTTTTACGCTGTTGCGGTGCAACCTCGGTAAACCAATGGAAATTGTGTTTTCTCATTTCGAGATGATTCTCAAATGCTCATAACTCACTTGTTTTGAGTCTGATTAAGCTCAAATTCAAACTTGAGCTAGATCTCGACGACCTGATCATTTTGACATATGGCATGTGTCATGGCCTGGCCCGAAACGAGAGAATATTTAGAGAGAATATGAGCTCAAAACATGAAAATTCAGATTTTATAAAGAAGAACATCCAATTCTTTGAGATGTCATAGCTCAAGATCCCGATGTCGGATCATTGCAAGTATGGGTCCTTTGCGACCGTACTTCGAAGAGCTACAATTTGATATGATTTTAATATATGATTGGAGATTGGATGACACGAATTTTAAGGTCGAAAATGGCATAATTTTTTCGATCGCCAAAATCCCATTTTCCGGTGACTTTCGAAAATTGGAACGTTCTCGGGCGAAGATAAAAAATGGACGAAAGTTATTGCAAAATGATCATGATAGTATTATCTTCAATTTGTGATAAAAATAAAGGCTTGGAACATCAACGATCGTGCTAGATTGGTGGTCGAAGAATCACAAAGTTTATGGACTTGACCGAATTTTGGGTTCTTCCTTAAAATCCGTTTCAAGACGATCAAATGGTATCAAAACGTGTGCAATAGTTCAAGCATTGATTTTATGACGATTGATCACCTGAATTACCTCCGTAAGCGTTTAAAAAAACTCCCGAGGCCTAGCAATGGGAAGAAGGCCCAATGGATGGATGGTTTTGTCATTTGTTAAACATGCCTAGGGGTATTTTTGTCATTTGGTCAAAAAATAGGATTAATTTTTTAATTCATAAAATGTACTTTTTTTTTTTGACAATTTTGGGTGTTTTTGAGCATTCCACCATTGTTTAGTGGTTGCTCTATATAAGGGAACCCAAGTCATTTGTAATACAATTTGATCATTTGCAGTAAAATTCTTGAATACTTGAGCATTTTAGAGTGAGATTCTTGAGTTCTTAGCTTCTTGTTTTCACTTTGCTTTCAAGTTCAAGACCAAGTGGAGAGGAGAGAACATTTTTTAGAGAGAGAAAATACCCCTAGAACCCGACACTTCTTAGAACTCAAAGTTCCAACTCCTTTAGGATTCCCAACTCCCAATCCCATACACCCTAGAACTCATAGTTTTCATACACCTTAGAACCCCTAGCTTCCAATCCTATTCCATACACCCTACACCCTACCTTAGTTAGCCTTCCATACACCATAATATTCCATACACCATAGGATCCTATACACCTTAGTTATTTTATACCTTACCCAATCCCATACACCCTAGCTTCTACACACCGTACCTCAATCCAATCAACCAAAGCTAGACACCTAAGACCCTAAACCTTAATCTTAACCCAAAACTTATACCTCTTTCTCTCTTATGTGCACGAAAAGGGATCAACGAATGTGCACTTAGGCTCAAGCCCATTTTAGGTCCACACTCTCTCCTCTCTCTTCTCTCTGTTTTCTTTCTTCCACTCTCTTCCTCTTTCTTCCCTCTCTTCGTTCTCTCTTTCTTTCTTCTCTCTCTCCTCTCTTCTCTCACTTCTTCTTTCTTCTTTCTCTCTTTCTCTCTCTCCTTGCTCGGACTCAGGATGGGTCTGAGCCCTCACCTAGACCTCACCTTCTCTCTCTCTCTTTCCCTCTCTTTCCCTCTCTCTCTCATGCTCAAACTCCCAGACCAGCACCTAAGGCGGGCCCGACTACCCTCTCTCTCTCTCTCTCTCTCTATTTCTCCTTACACCCTCTCATCTCCAATATCTCCCTACACTCTCATCTTCCCTATCTGCCCTACCCTCTCATCTACCCTATATGCCCTACCCTCTCATCTCCCCTATCCACCCTACCCTCTCATCTTCCCTATCCGCCCTACCCTCTCATCTTCCCTATCTACGCTCTCCCTTCATCTCCCTTATCCGCCCTACCCTCTCATCTCCCCTATCTGCCCTACCCTCTCATCTCTCCTATTTGCTCTACCCTCACGCACTCCTATCTGCTCTACCCTCACACACCCATATCTGCTATATTTTCTACCCTATCCATCCTAACTTCACATACTCCCCTATCTGCTCCACCCTCACACACCCCTATGTGCCCTACTTTCATACTTCCCTATCTGCCCCAAGCTCTGTACACTAGTCTATCTCCCCCACATTCTCATACTCGCCTCATCTGTTCTCCATTTTCTCACCTACTCTATCTCTCATCTCCCCTTTAGAGTCCGGACCCATACCATAGGTGGGCCCATCATTCATGGACCCCATTCATCTCATTTTCTCTCACCTTAAACACTCTCTTCTCTCTCTAAATCATACTTGAACTTCCCATTTATTTTACTTTGCTTTCATTTCATTACTCCTTTATTTCTCTCTTTACTCATTTCTTTCGCTTCTCGAGCACTCGATTCGGAGTCGTCCTGAGATAGTGGTCTAGGGTTTTAACTCTCGAATTGCTACTCTAACTATCAGCTTGTACAGTGAAGTCGGGTCATAAGAGGTATTGATTCTCTTACACTCGGTCACTCGAGTTGGGGTCATCCTGAGTTTCTTAAGAGTTCTAACCCTTTCACTACTCTAACCACTGAGTCACACAATGTTTGGGTTGTGAGAGACTTTCAGCTCTCTCTCTCTCTCTCTCTCTCTCTCTCATTTTCTTCTCTCCTTTGATCACATTTAGGGGGCTCTTTGGTTTAGTGACATATTTATAGGCTCAGTCTTGTAACTCTACTTTCCGAATCCTTCGGGTACCAAGGCTTTGTGCATGATACTTTTCTTTATCTCCAGTAATACCTCTTAGGAGAGGTTACGCCGGGAGGTTGCCCAATTTCCTACCACTCTACCCAAAACTAGAGCCATTAATCCATAAAACACATCAAAGAAGAGTACATTATATTTGAATTTCTTTAGCAGTTTTTAAGTGAGAGTTGAGGTGAGGTGTTGAGTTTAGAGGGGGGGCCGCATCCAAACCATGCTACTGGACAACTGGAGGGTTTTCGTTCATTGATCTAAGAGGGCAATAGCCCAAGTTTATCCCACGAACTCAAACTGTGGTGAGATAGGTGCTCAAGTCCTTCCATACATCGTTTTAAAATCCTCTTATAGTTGGACATACCTATTTGCACGTGATACATGAGCCACACACGTGTTCGTGATGTCAGGCAGTTCTTTGAGAGGGGGTCAATCGAGCCCGGGTCCCCGAGGGAGCCCGAGCAACGTAGATCCAGGCCCGACCACTCATACTTGGTTTCTCAGCTTATGTTAATTGGTGCATTACTTGATATGTTTACATGCTGATTTTAAATATCTATTACTGGCATAAAGAGAATGAAAGAATAGTCAGGACCTTACACGACTCAAATGATGTACCTGGAGATACATCTTAAACAATAATGGATAAAGCAGACATAAATGGCATATACAATTACATGAAATACATATATGCATGAAAATTTCTCGCACTAAATCAGCTATAAGCTCAGTAGGAAGTAGTACATATGTATTCAACTGTTATTTACTTAAGTCAAGTCCATATGGACCACCTGCATCGTCCTACCATAGTTGTTATGCTTGGTGAGTTGTTGTTTGAATGGGATCATAATAGCTTTTCTAATTCTTTTGTCCTTTATTATTATTCTTGGGGTTCATATTGGTAATTGTGTTGTGCTTTGTACCTGTAAAGATTTTTTGTGAAGAGTTAATGCCATCATTCTTTGTTATTTGCAAGGGTTTTCCTATGTTAAAGATCTGTAATGCCGTTAGGGAACTGTTTGCTTATTTCCCTTATGTTTCTTCTCATGATCGTGTACTTGGTAGAATTTCATCTTTTCCAAAGAGCTTTTATTGAAGGTGTAATCGTCAATTTTTTCCATTTGATATTATTTAACATCGTTTATTGAATCCTGATTCTTACTATTTCATCAGGTTTTGGTCTGCTATTCACACAACTTTATATATTTCCAAAGGTTGAGAAGATTACTGGGCCATTGCCACTGGTCCGCTATGGATCGGTACGTCTTCAAGCAACTTGTGTGGGCTTTTCTTTGATAGGTGACTGAACTTGTTTTAGGTGACCGAACTTATGTCCTGGAGATCTTTCTACTTGCAGTTTATAAGTATACCACTGCTCGCAAGCTACCCAGCGATAGCCAAGCTTACCGGTTTATCTCTGAAGGTCACAATTAATTGTGCATCCTTGTTGAAAAATTGTTTTTCTGTAAGTGAACATACACGCTGTCTGATTGTTAGCATATTAAATAGCTTCACAGCTGTTTCTAATTGTATTATGTGCTCTGATTTAACCTTCAGTTATAAGAGGAGATGAAGGAATTTAATGGACTTTCTACATGATGTTAAAGATAAAAAAGGAAAATTTGGTTGTGAATCTAGACTAAGGCCCGCAGGCCCAGCACAGAATTAAAATATCAGTTAATGAATTACCAGCTTTTAAAACTGCTAAGTTTACTCATTTCAAATAAAATAACTCTGATATGTTTGAAACCTTCTTAGCAGAAGGTTGTTTTCCTTTTGCACTCAATCTGGCACATTTCTGGCACCATGAATTGCCATCGTTGGGGATTCTATAATCCTGGCATGTGCATTACTGCCTGTTGCTCCTTACTTTATTATTCTCCCCAAATCCTGAATTCAATATGAAAGGCAATAAAGTCGAGATGTATGTATGATGGATTTTTGGTAACTTGAAGTACCTGAAAGGAAATACTTATGGATGCCTCCTTAATTGGATGGATTGGAGAAGCCTCATTATCGTGTAGCTTTTGACATGAATAAAAGCTTGATAATAATCTTTGAGATCAATGATAAATTTGCCTTATGAAAATAGTTTTTCAGTTGTCGTATTTGTTCATATATTTCTGTATGACTTATTTCCGTGCCAATCCTTGCCTAATTGTTTCTCTCACACGTACCAATTTGTCATGTTTGAGTTGCTACTTTTTGCAGGCGACGATTGTCACCGCAATATTAATTATGCAGAACAACTCTGTGGTAATTATCTTTCAAACGTTAACCTCCATGATTTCCTTGATTTTCTATTGGTTCATTCTCAAAGTTCGATACTCTACATGGGTTAGTTCTAGTCATCTTATTTGGCCTTTTGTATTCTATGCATTTTACTTGATTTACAGCCTCAAGACCAAAGAGGTGCTGCAAATGGGCTTGCAATGACTGCAATGTCCCTATTCAAAGCAATTGGTCCAGCAGGAGCTGGTGTTTTGTGAGTACATCACAAACTTCCTTTCTTCTACAGTTTCGTTTATGCAAACATAATTGTAAAGTTTTCATGATATGATAATGTCTTGTCTCTTTGTATCAGAAGCCTGATTTCTTTGAGGCTACCATCTACCATTAATTTTCTCCTCTCTAAAGCCATTGACGTTCGAGCTATCCATTATACTCATTGACTAGGGCTCTTAATCTCACCCTCTAGATTCATCAGATGATTAGGAACTAAGGAAAAACAATGCAAAAGAAAAGAAATGAAATAAAATTAGAATGCTGTGGAGATGGTTATTACCTTGCCTGTTAGTTTTGTATACCATGGATGGACTAAAATTACATGCTTTGTTCTTGTATTCGTGAGTTATGTACTCCAATACACTCTTTCTTTGGGTAGGTTATTTCATTTCATTATACTTTTGTAAAGGGGTTATGTCATTTTGTCCCTCCTCTAGTTGTGTTTATGTAGAATATATGTGGATGTGATTGACATTTGTATGCCTAATCAAGCAGCTTTCTTCTTCTTCTTTTTTTGGATTGATTTGTAATAAAGACAAGTTCACAAAAGTATGCCAATTCTTGTGCCAATCTTGGCTCAAATTACAACAGTTTTGAGTTCTTTATGACTACTTCGAAGGCACAAGATGCTGGCTACTTCCTTTAAAAGAAAAAAGCCTGGGATTCACATACATTGAGCACTGTTTTCTGGTTTCTGTTTTGAGGATTGGAGAAAGCAAAATTCTAAACTAAAGCATGCAACATTTAGTTAAAAGCGAAAAAGTTAAAAAAATCATACGACTATTTATGCATCATGGAACAAACTTTCTTGTAGGCATTTACCATATAAAATAATGTCACATTCTTTTTTATATCGATCTTTTCCTGCCAAAAGACTGTATCCTAATGTGATTTCCACACTACAGGTTTTCATGGGCTGAAACCCGTCAAGATGCTTTCTTCTTCACAGGTATTACTCGCAAACTTTGAATATGAAAATGATCAGGTAGGACATATGCCCACATTAATGATGTCGGTATATGCCGATATCAAAAATGCATGCATAGTTTTACTTGGCCATTCCCCATTTCGAATCAAGGCACGTAAACTCCCATTTATAGAGGACTGTTATGGGCTTTGGAAACTGTCCATTCTATTTCAGAAAAGGGTATATATAATGAGTGCAGAGAACTTTCTAACCTAGCCATTGGTATCAACAGAGATGGTTGGGGTGTGTGATTTCTCCAATTGAAGTTCGAAAAAATTTGAGTCGAGGAACGACACACCTCAACCTTCCCTTGACATCTGAAGGCTCAGGTAATGTGGAGTTTGCTAGAAGAACTTCAATGCACTCATTAAATATATTTCCTTTATAGAAATAACTTACTGGTAGTTGACGGTGAAGTCCATTTCCCCTCTTCGAGGTGGGTTAAGAAAAAGGAGTTGAGGTTATATTTAAGAAGGATGACCATGACAGTTATTAGCAGCGTTTTGAAACTCAGCCAAAGGTAACTCCGACTCGACCGAGTAACTCAGACTCCGCCAAGTAACTCAGACTTGGCTGAGTAACTCGGCCTCGCGAAACGAGTTTTGTCCGAGTTACTTGTACATCATTTTTTTTTGTTTAATTATATCGAAACCTCCAACTTAAATCAGATATGTAAAAACGTTTTGCTGGTTGTTACTTACACGTAAAGTCGAACCGTCATGGGTTCCAATCAACCTTTTTTACATTATAGTTTTAAAATGTCCTCCTTTTATCCTACTAACATTTGTTAAGAGATT